CCAAACCGTATCCCTATGATATCACAATATGTATTTATGCTTTTTTCAAATGCCCTCTCAATTCTCGAATAATCAGGGAACAGAGGCAATGCAACACAATGAATGGTCACTTTAAGTGCATCATTGTGATTTAAATCACTTCAAAAACAAAAATCAACCAAACCAAAAGCAGTGAAACAAAAGAAGAAGAAAAAACACCCCATCAACAGCTTAAAAAGAAACCCTCCAGAAGTGAATAATATTCGACTACATATCTAAACAAGCTCATAGGGGTTTTGTGTTGGCTGCTCTGGAGCTGCTGCTGGGCACCCGTTGGTCTTCATCATAACTTCATACACATAATCATTGGATCCTTGCAGGGAAGGTCTTGCTTTTCTTTCGTGGCTTTTCATTTTTCTCGCCTGTCAATAGTAAAATACCACTGTATCAGTTTTCTGTATAAATAGTATGATGGTTTAAGCAGATTTCAAAAAAGTACATCCAGTTAACTTCTAGAAAGTTTTCATTTTTGACAAATGATTTGACACATGGTAAAACAATAAAACAGTGCTCACAGTGGGTATAAAGCCAAGTGGAGTTCTTAAGAAGTGGAGTTTACAGAGGACAGGTGTGTTAGTGTATTATTAACGTTGGGTTTTGTAACAAAGAAAAATTATTTTCATCTTGAGCTAACAGAGCGAAAGACGTGAACAGTGTGATGCACTTTCCAAGGAGCTGCAGCACTTTCACAGCTGCACTTCAAGATCCAAACAGATAATTCAGTGGTTTCTGATATAATCAGCAAGTCAGCGCAAGAGCGTTTACAGTGTTTACAGCAGTCATACTTGGTTGCGGTGAGGCTAATAAATGTGTACATTTACATGTCTGCAGACAGAAGATAACCACTGCTGCACACCATAGCTGCAGGGCTGGATTACATAACAGTACCTTACATAGAAAGCTTTAAGTAGAAAGAGCTGAACTCACCTTCTGGATCATCAGTAGGATTAAGATTATGATGAACAGCAGGATGATGGTGGAAATACTGATGATTAACACCAGAGGTAGATGTCTCTCCTCTGCAGTGGACAAGAGCGCTTTTTGTCTGGAACATGGTTCTGTGTGAAATACAGGGAAACACAAGTGATGTCTTCATTCAGCTACATAAGAAGTTTACCATCCTGGTGCACTCCTTTAATTACACTGTTCTAACTTTAAATTTGCAATGTAATACAGAATTCTCCAAAAGAAAACTCAAGAAGAGCTCATCTAAAAATAAAAGGAAGATTGCTCTTCTCTTTGTATATCATATAGGAAGAGGAAAAGTAATTAAAAGTAATTAAAATCTGTGTTGTCACTGTTTGTTTAAAAAAAAACAATAGCCTTTTATATTACTTTTATTCAGCATTACTGTTGAGGGTGTCACCAAGCCCAAATGGCACATCAGTAATTGTGAATTATGGTCTATTGTGTTTTATATCTACTGTAAGTTGAGTTCAGCCCTACTGAAGACCACAACCATAAGAGATATCACAATTGTAAAACTTAACATAAAATCGTTTTCTTTGTTATTGCTACTTCTTTTTTTTATAGCTTCATAAAGTGTGCAAGCTAATTTGTGGCAATGGAAGCATCTGTATGCAGTGCACCTCACTTGGCTGATAACAGCACTGGGAGTTAACAGACAGGCTGTTAGTTGAGAGAATCAAACTGACCTTTGGGATGCTCGGTAGTATTATGCTCACGATTACCACCAGGTAGACGTCTCTTCTCTGTGGTCGTCTGGAGCTCTCTGTTAGGTTTGTTTGTTATTTCTGTATGGAAAAAAATGTAAATACAAATTTAGAATAGCTTTAACTGTACTTTAACAGCAAAAAAATTTTTGATACAAAACCCTTCATAGTCAGGAAGGACAACAGAAAATTGGTATTTTTTGTATATGTCACCTTGACAAGAAAAGTGGATTAGGTCACATCATTTACAAGCTGGAGTAATAGAATAGTAATAGAAGACACATTAAACAGGAGCCCTGTGTTTGTATACGACCAAAGAAGTTGTGTAAAGTGTAAATTAAAACTGAATGTAATGATCTGCAAATCTCATAAACACAGAAAACATGTCAAATATTTAAATTGTGAAATTTTACTTTTTCATGAAAAATATTAAGTCATTTTTCATTTGATGGCAGCAGTTTGTCTCAAAATGATGGTGGAGGGCAAAAAAAGACTGTAAAATAAAGTAGTAGCAAAAACAAAGCCCTGCAGGAACACTTCAACTCTTGCTAATTAGGTTAATTGGCAGGAAGTCAGCGTTATAACAAAGTACAAAAAGAGCATTGTAGCGAGGCAGAGTTTCTAAGAAGTCAAGATGGGCAGAGGGCCATTAATTGGTAAAAACTATAATGTTCCTCAATGTAAAACCATTAAGACTGAATATCTCATCATCTGTATTACATAATATCAAAAGATTCAGAGAATTAGTATTGGATGCCAGTGATCTTTGGGCCTTCAGGTGGTAGTTAAGTAAAAACAGGTATGATTTTACCTTGGAAATCATTGCATGGTTTCAGGAACACAGCCATAAATCACTGCCTGTGTTAGTTGACCATGCCATCCTCAAAAGGAGGTTAAAGCTTTATCATGCAAAGAAGCCATATGTGTATGTGATCTAGAAACAGTGCCATCTTCTCTGGGCCAAAGTTAGTTTTAAATGAAGTCGAAAACTGTTCGGTGGACAAAAAACCCGAAATTTGAAATACTTCTTGGAAAACTTGGACTCTTTCAGACTAAAGAAGAGAGGGACCATTAGTGAGGATGCATTAGTGCCTGTGGAACTGAAAGCCTGTACATTTGGCACCATCGATTTTGAAAGGTATATGCAGGTTTTAGAACAACAAACAGTAGGTTCCAATCTGGACAACACGGTGCC